TAATGTGGCTCCTTTGGCCTTTTGCCTGTCAATTATTACGAGAATTCCCGCGCCCAGTTAGGGGATAAGCCTACGGTGTGGCACTTAAAACGCCAAAAGAACGATTAATTTCCGACATCGATTTTCAGTTTCGTGTTATGAAGCTGGGTCCGTCATTGGTTAACAAAGTTGTTTTTTGTTTGAGTTAAAATGAACAGACACTTCGTACGTCTCCTGGTCCTTTACCCCACTGTTTTCGTCTGAAGCCATTATTCGCTGTCCTCGGTGCGTCAACCGGGGGAGATCGCTGGAAAGAGGCCGAAATTGCGGTAGGTTACGATGATGCATAGTTTAGAGTGAGTGAGAGTCGTCCTGCATAAACTGCCACTTAGAAGTCTACATACTTTACGCGCAGTGGAGATTATAAGGGTATTTATCCGAAGTAACTGGACGTGGTCCAGGAGAGACGACAGTGGATATTTTCAAAGGAAAGTGTGATAAATAACTGCCGCCGTAGGCTAAAAGCACCGGCTGTGAGAGCAAGTGCCATCAAAGGCGATCATCCCTAGTATTGCTCCTATTGGTTGTTCTGATATGTCATATCTCCAGCATTAATCATAATAACTCAATATTTAATCAACAAGGCTTACGACAGACTTGGGCATGACGGCCCAGGCTTTAGGAGAGAGATAATTGATGCTTAGCAATTTTGTAAGTTTTCTACAAACGAAAAACTGATTTTAAATATTTCTGAAACGCTTGCTTTCATCACCTTTATTACTAATGTAGTGGTTGTTCTGGCAATGGCAAAGTCAAACTCTGTCAAGTTGTTTTATAGAAAACAGCAACCTTCTTTCCGCCCCCAGTCCCTGGTCATTCTTCTCTAATTTCTTTGAAGTTCCTGATCAATCTCTACTAAAACGGTTAGGAATCCTAAATCGTTAAGTCAACCCAGTTATTCCATAGTATGAGTCAAAAGGAACACATAAGGTGAGAGAGAGAGAGATCTTATCTTTGGCAACGAGACAGAAAAACTTTTAATTGGCAGAGCACAACATAATCATTGGCTGCCACGACTTTGGCAAGAAGGATGAAATAAACGTTCACATACATTCTGTGATTTATTGCAAAGGGTGAGAACCGCCACTGTACCGAAGCGTTGTGATGACTTGAATGAGAAGTATTTAGCGGTGACCGGAAACTGTAGCAGTACTTAGCTCATTCTATCTACAAATATGCCTGGGATGCGAACATTTGCCTCAATTAGCTCATTCTCTTCCACTTAGTGATCGGTCTCCTGCAGTGTCAACCATAGTTTTGAAAAATAATTTAGACTAGGGGTGATTACATAAGTGAGACTGTAATATTTATTATCTTCCAGCATAATCGCAAAATATTTCACACCCACCTGGATGCCGGAAGTTGAACGAACGTTTTTGTCTCCTGAAAAACTGCAGTTGATAAAAAACTGTTTAGGTAGTGTGCAATCTTCTTTTATACATTTTTGGTGCCCTTACAAATTCAAATACATTTCATGACAACTATAAGCAAACAGCATTTTCTTAAAACTACATAATGGCAAATTCTATTTTTTCTTCGAATCACGTATTTCTGTTTTCACAATCTTGTCAGTGGACTCTGCAATCAGCATTCTTCATACTTCGGTGATGAATTCCGTGACCTCCGCGAT